TATTTTTCAAAACCAATATTATGAAAATTGTATTGAGTCCAAATAAATAAGTCCACTTTAAGAACAACAATTGTACTTTCATTTAAACTAAAATAAATAATATTTAAAAAAGTTTTGACTTGAAAAATAAAAAAACATAAAAAATTATTTAAATTTTAAAAGTCATATTATTTATTTAGTACCAAAGTAATAAAACTTAAAAACATGTACTAAATAATTTTTTTTTAAATCTTGATCAAACTTATTTAGTTTATATTTTGTCATTTCAAGATAAAAATAAATTCAAGGCTAACACTTTGCTACATTAAGCGAACTATTGCAAGGCTAAAAACTTAAAAGTATACCTAAAATCATAACAAATGAGAGATTGATTCTTTTCTTATTGTGTTACACCTGCAAAAAAAATGAAAGCCCACTTGTGCATTGTCATTACTCAAGACGAAATCAACTACAAATTTTGCCATAGCTAAAATTATGAAATTGGAAGATTAAGTTAAAAAATCATTAAAGGTTAAAGAAAAAAATACTTACATTATGAACTTATTTCTTTTATGTTATATAAAACAGGAAAAATATTTTGCCAAAAATGCTCTGAACAATGTGAAAACTTATTAAGTCAATATTTTAGCATACTCATCACTCTTATAGGACATTTAAATTACTAATAGAGGATAATTTATAATTTTATCATAGTCTATTCAAAATTCCATCAATCTATCATATTGCTAAAAGGGAAATAAATATCGGCAAGTTACCTTACAATGAATTTGTTCATTGTAAGAAAAATAACTATTTGTGATCCCAATTCTAACAACAAAAAATAAAGAAAAAAAAAACATATATTAAGACTTATAGATCATTAAAAAAAAATGAAGCATTTATACTATAAAACCTTGATCTTTAATTGATCCATCTAACTATTAAGAATAATAAACTGAAAAAACACTAGATCAAATACTTAAATTAGAAAAGAGGGAGAAAATGAAGACTATCAATGGCTTGACTTGAAAAACTGAGGTGGTGGATCTTGGTCGTGGGGAACCAAAAGCAAAGGAGGGTCGCTCTTAGTTTAATCGTGAGAGTGAAGAAGTAGATTTTGGACTTGACTCGTAATAAAAGCCAAAAAGTTGAATCTCCCTTTCTCGTTGCCTTTTCATTTGTTCTTTCATTGTCGATTGCAACTTTTATCGGTGGTGATTCATTCCCCATTCTTTGGCCTACCCCTCTTTCTTATGGTTCCATTCCCTTTCTCCTCCCCCTTCTCTTTCTTTTCATTTTTTTTTCAATACTGTTTGCCTAGAGAAGCTTTCGAAAAGCTTTAGTTCTAATTTTTTTTTCAAATTACAATAATAAAAATCTAGAAACTTCTTTGTACACTCTATGTCCAAACAATTTTTTTAATGCACTTGAGTCTTATCCATGTCCAAATAATTTTTTAAATTCTCAAATTATAAAAGCCTACATTAAGTGACAATTGTCACTAAATTAGGCTTTCAATCAGAGGCCATCAATAGTGAAAGACTACTTTAAATAAATAGTTATAAATGTTGACTTATCGAAGAAACGAATTATTATAAGTCACCTAATTCAATTGATTAAGGTTCATCTTTTTTGGTAAAGAAATTTTGAGTTCAAGTTCTATCGATGACCACTTGTTGAAGTCATCTCAAATACACGACTTGTAATTACTTATCTTAAGTTATCAAGTACAACACATCTTACTTTGATCTAAAAGACTTAACAATCTATCTACTTTTAAATTTTTTCTTACAAAAAAAAATTATTATAAGTCATATATATGAACATCAATCAAATATATCTAACGAATGATATCAAAAACTATGTATTGTAGTTACATTTTCTTCGGATTTTAATTAATTTAAATAAATATGTATATGTAGGAAGAATAAAACGAATTATGATGTCTTTAATAAAGGAATTATATTAGGTTCCGTTGGTCGATTTTTTTTATATTTATCTTTTTTTTTCAGTTATTTTTTACTTTCATTTTGTTCTAAAAAATTATAACATATATTAAAATACTTTCTTTGAAAATTACAATAATACTTTTATATTTATTTGATATGATGTTAAAACGTATCTAAATTTACTATAATGCATTTCTACTATATTTATGTAAATCTCTTCTTCTTATAAATAGTCAAAATTACTATAATGTGTTACTACCATAATTATAAAAATGTCCCTCATATCATGATTAATCAAAATTATTATAATACTTCTTTTATTATAATTACGAAAATGTCTATCTTACTATAATTGGCTAAAAATTATTATAATACCCCTCATAACATAATTAAGGAAATGTTGTTATAAGTGTTTCATAAGAAATTGACATGTGACATTTTACTTCAAAATTATATGATACCCTTATTAAATTACGTATTAAAATTTTAACATGATATAAAATTTATCACATATTAAATTATTAAAATTTTGCCATTGCTTTATAGAAATTTGACAAGTGATATTTTATTTAAAAATTATTATAATTCTCCTATTAAATTATATATGAAATTTTAACATAATATAAAATTAAATATATATTAAATATTAAAATATCCTTACCATGGTTTTGTAGAAATTTGACATATAATATTTTGTTTGATATTTATCATAATATTCCTATTAAATTTCATATTAAATGTTAAATAATATATATATATATATATATTAAAGCAATTCCATGGACATTACTATAACACCCATATGTTTATTTGATATAATATTAACACGTTCAAATTTATTAAAATGTGTTTCTATCATAATCACGGAACACTCCTCTTTTTATAATTAGTCAAAATTATTATAATATGTCAATATCATAATTACGGAAATGCCTCTCTATACTTGGCTAAAATTATTATGTCCCTCTTACCATAATTATGAAAATACCCTTACTATTATAATTAATCAAAATTATTATAATGTCCCTCATTTCATTATTACAAAAATGTTTCTCTTACCATAATTGTCCACAAATTACTATAATGTTCCTCGTAACATATTTATGAAAATGCTTTTATGAGTGTTTCATAGGAAGTTAATATGTAACATTTTTATTTCAAAATTACTATAATACCCTATTAAATTACATTATAATTAACATAATATTAAATTAATCACATAATAAATTATTAAAATACCCTTATAGAAATTTGATATGTGACATTTTATTTGAAATTTACTGTAATACCCTATTAAATTATATATGAAATTTTAACATAATATAAGATTAATTACATATTAAATTATTAAAATACCCTTACCATTACTTCATAAAATTTTGAAATGTAGCATTTTATTTGAAATTTATTATAATACCTCTATTAAATTACATATTAAAATTTAGCATAATGTAAAATTAACTACATATTATATCACTAAAATATTCTTACAATTGCTTCTTGAAAATTTGACATATGGTATTTTATGAAAATTATTATAATACCCTTATGAAATTACATATTTAATTAATTATATAAAAATTAACTACATATTAAATTACTATAATGAAATAAAAATTAAAATATATAAGGAATAACAAAAAAAATAAATTATTTTTTATTTTATTTTAAATATTTTTACAAAAAAGTTTATAAACTACAATAAATTGAAAATCATATGTTTGATCAAATGGTTGATAAAAAATACAACATTCAAAATGTAGTATAAAAAATTAATAAAAAAGTATAATAGTAATATATGAAATACTATATTTATATTAATTTTTAATATTTTTATAATATTTTTATTCATTTTATTATTTAATATTTTTATATTAAAATAATTATAAATATAATAATAATAATAATAATAATAATAATTATTATTATTATTATTATTATTATTATTATTATTAAAATTTTTAAAAGATAATTCACCCCAATATAACAGGGGTTAATGATATGAGTAAGACAAATTTAATAATTAAAAAATTAATGAAAAAATTAAACATTAAAAAGATAATAATGTAATTACATAAATTATAAATGTTATTTCAAAGTTACAAAAATTTATTATTCTTTTTTAAAATATAAATAGTAATTTAAAGGAATAAATTGAATCATTTAAATTTTTTTAAAATTTTATTTCAATAAATATAAATGAAAAAATGATAATATTGAATTGAATTATTTTTATTTTTTTAAAACATAATTTTAATAAATATAAATAATATTGATAATATTAAAAATAATTATCAAATATACAAGTAGAGCCTAAATAAAATAATTATTTGTCATATGCAACTTTTGATGTAAGCAAAGGTCGATTCACCAAAATGCTGGACAAAAGGAGCATGAAAAGAAAGGGCAAGGAACGGGAAGACGTGAGAAGGGCACGTGCGGGGCTAAATCTACACACGCGCGCGAATAGCGACATTAGAGCTTGATTAAGCAACTGAATATTCAAAGGGTGACCTGACTGGCCCCTCAAGTCATGACAAGGTACGGACGGCATGGATCAAGCCTTCCCTCCCTGGCCTGCCCCTACTTAAATTAAGCTAAGTCCCTTTATTTACATCAATTAATGCGTGATACTTATTTATTAAATTTAATAAATTATTACAAATTATATTTTTAAATTTGTTAATTAAACGAATAATCATAAATATAACAAAATTTCATTGAATTCATTTATATTTAAGATATAAACAAACTTTTTATTTATTTATTTATTAAATTGTATAAAATATCACAAATAATATTTTAAAATTTATTAATTAACTATATATATAACAAAATTTATTTAAGTTCGTTTCTAGTAACTGTCCGCAACTGACGGAATTTTAATACTCTCTTGTTCACCGTGTAAACCTCACCTTTCCAGCAGCAGGAACCAGATCGGTTACTCCCACAACGCTGTTCGGTAGAATGTCCCCATCATCCTTCCGTGGCAATCTCATAAATATATATATATATATATATATATAACAAAAAAAACAAAATCAAAATCAAAATCAAAGTATTTTAAAAAATTTAACTGCCACTGTTCTATTCATAACAGAAATTTGAGTTCTCAAACAAGCTTAAATTCCAAATTCTCTCCCTTATGCAAAACCCTTCCAGCTCTCTCTTCTTCATGTTGCCATCTTTTGACCGTGGTTTAGCAGTGCATGGGCGGTGGCCACGCTCCCACAGACCCGCCGGAAAAGGAGGAGGAGGAGCGACCGTCGCTCCTTCCTTCAATGGACGGTTTACGGCTCGCTGAGGCTCCTATACTTCTCCTGGTTTACTTCCATTTTGCTATAAGAGCGGAGCTAGCTGAGCTCCGGCGCGTGGCGGTTGCTGCTGCTGCGGATGAGAAGAGCGAGTCACATTCGCGGGAATTAGTAGTTGAACTGTCTGGAAGGTTCCAGTTTCTTAAGCTTGTTTATAAGTATCACTGCGCTGCTGAAGATGAGGTGAATTCTGACTTTGCATTTTTATTCTGTTTGGTTTGCAAGAAAATGAAAGAAAGGAGTAGAGAATACATTGGACTCTTCCTTTTTCAGATTAAAGTTAAATAGAATTCTTGTGTCTTAGAAAATCTTGAAATTTTCTTTTTCCCTCATTTCTCAGCAACCCAGAATGCTTTGGAATTTAGTTAAAATATTTGCTATTAATTATTTTCATTTTTACAAATATAAGATGATCAAGAATTTAACTGAGGATTATGCAACAGGTATTCACTTTTTCAATTATCAATTATAAACAAAACACTTTGGTGTAACCAAAACTTTAAGTTGACTAATGAATTATATGTTTTATCAATCAGATTAACAAATTAATCAGAGTTTAGGTATGATATGTGGCGTTTGATTAAGGAGCTTCACATTTTATGAGTCAACGACTCGAAATTAGAAATGGCTTCTAATTTTAAACGTAATACTAAATTAAATGCAGATAGTCAAATAATATTGAGCAAAGCGTTATTCAAGTAGCTGATAAAGAATTGCTCCTTAAACTTAGAAGAAACCTTACTATTTTTATTGGATCACTTGGTTTAATTTTCTTAAAAGTTGTTGGCAGGTTGTCTTTCTAGCACTGGATGCACATGTTAAAAATGTGGCATGTACGTATTCGCTTGAGCATGAAAGTATAGACACGCTCTTTGGTTCTGTTTTCTGTTGCTTGAATGCATTGGAGGAAAGTAAAAATATCTCCAAAGCATTACAAGAACTCGTATTTTGCATTGGCACCATCCAATCCTCTATTTGCAAGCATATGCTGAAAGAAGAAAAGCAGGTTACTCTTCTATTTTTGTCATTAGTTATTCCATTTAACTTTTTTTTTTTTTGCATTACAAGAACTGTGCTACCTTTTTTTTCCCTCAATAGCTTGCTTTTTAGTTTCTAGTTTTAGTGGTAATCAAGGATGAAGATGGGATTTTATTTATTTTTTTTTTTTTTGTGGGGAGTCTGAATAACAGTTATTTTCGTCGAGATACTATATGTTTTTACTTTCACATGTTTATGCTTATAATATGGAACTGCTGTAGATGAGAGAACTTTCTTGTTACCATATTTAAATTCTCAAAAACACACACATACACGCATAGAGGGGATAATTAGATAGAGGGTTAGATGAAATGCATATAATAATTTAAAAAGATTATTCTATACAATAAAACTTCCCAGCTAGGTTTAAATCATGCCACTTGTCCATGAGATTGTAAGGAAATTATTATCCTATATATATCTTTGATGGAGCTTAAAATCTCATTAACAATTCTATACATTTGTCATATGTCCGTCTAACTATGGATAAGGAAGTCAAAAAGGTTGCATCAAGTGAGATCAACTGTGATTGTTCTAACTTCCATTTTTTTCCCATTTTCTTTTGGTGTATGAATTGCATAAGAGCATTTTCTATTCAAATACCTTAAACATTTTTAATAAGATCCCCTCACCAAAACTAGGACGCAAAAGAAGGAAATCACTATTCTATGAATAGGCAAGTTCTATATCATTGCATATGTTTATCCTAGAAAACCATGGCAGTATTGATGATAAAGTGATTTTATTTAAGTTAGCATGTTTTTAAGGCAGTTGGCAGATATCTAAAGAAAGGACATAAAAGCTAGAAGAAATACTGAGGAATATAAAGGAGATGGAATTTGAACCTTCTATGTCGAATTGTGGCTGCTTCAGTACTTCATCTTTCTACTTTTAGCACAAAAACGGAAAACTCTTTACTGATAACACTGTTAGAATATATTAAGTAGAGTGTAGGATAGTTTAATTTGTTTAATAGTGGAAGTTTCTGCAATTCATTGTTGATATACTTGTGTTCTTTATGTTGAACATGTAAATACATACTTGACTAACCAGCATGTTACAATCTTATCAACTGCTTGCAGGTTTTCCCTCAGCTGGTGAATCAGTTTTCTTCCCAGCAACAAGCTTCTCTGGTGTGGCAGTTCATTGGGAGTATCCCCATAATTCTGCTGCAGGATTTTCTTCCGTGGATGATCTCCTTTTTTCATCCACAAGAGCAAGAAGAAATTAAAAATTTTATAAAAGAAGTTGTACCAAAGGAAAAATCATTGCAGGAGGTAGATACTTATTTTTATTTTTACCAGAATTTGAGTAATCATCCTGATAGTAACAAAATTAAAATCAAAATTTGAAGGTGGTACTATCTTCACTTGGCAAGAAACACCAGACCATTTTTGGGTTTCACACTGAGCTTGCAAAAGGAGTTGGACCACTTGATGGAACAACCTCTATCAAAGGCAAATTCGAATTCAATTTCATCAAGAGGCCTCTTGGGTGGAAGGAAGTGCATTGTTTCCAAACAAATGATGGAAATAATCCAGTTGACAGTCTACTTCTGTGGCATGGTGCCATTCAAAAAGATTTGAAAGAAATTCTATCAGAGCTGCATCAATTAAAAATATCAAGATGCTTTCAAAATCTAGATTTTATTGTTCTCCGACTGAAATTCCTTGCAGATGTCCTAATCTTCTACAGGTAATAAATATGTTTCCTGAAACATTTATTAGACAAATTAACTTTATTTGACCAAGGTGCCTACTTTAACATCTTTTTCTGGCTTTGCCAGGGAAATACCTCTATTTATCATTCCTTACTTTATTACTTGTTTATCAGCATGTCCAAACTCTCAGAAGTTGTTCTGTTATTTGCAGCAATGCATTGGAGAAGTTCTTTTACCCTGTCTTGGTTGATATTTCCAACATTCAGCTGTCTCTGCCCACCCAACATCTCTATATTGCGAGTCATATTGAACAGTTACAGTACTTGCTGCATTATAATGATCAAAAGGGAATACAAACAAATAAGTTTGTAGAGAAGCTGTGTCAGAAACTGGGGTCCTTTGTGATGAATGTTGACAAACAATTTAGTTTACAAGAAAAGGAGGTAAAAATGATTATTTTCTCGCCGTTCTTATACACTGGAAGTAGGACAAGATGAGCTCTATTCAAGCTTGGATTTTCAGTCCAACCACATATTAATATCTCATGAAGTTTTACCAGGATGACTTTCATTAACCAATCATCTCAAAATGTTTGCCACATTGACCTTTGACACTTTCCAATTTCTTTCAGGTATTTCCTGTCATTAGCAAGAACTGCAGTGAAGAAATGCAGCAGCAGCTTCTGTGCATGAGCCTTCATGTGTTACCACTTGGGTTGCTAAAATGTGTGGTCACCTGGTTTGCTGCTCATTTATCTGAGGATGAATCTAGGTCCATTCTGCAGATTTTAAATCAGGGAAGTTCTTTGATCAATAAATCTTTTGCATCCCTCCTATTGGATTGGTTCCATATAGGTTATTCAGGAAAAACCTCTGTTGAAAGTTTCAGGAGGGACTTGGAGAAAATGTTCAGCAGCAGATGCTCTTCTCTTTCTATGCCAATTGAGGAAGATGCTGAATCTTCTTCATTACCTTCAGATATGTTACTTTGTAAAGGATCTAAATCTAAGCTAATTAAACCACTTTTTGTCAACAAGGGAAAGAAGGGTTTCTCCTTTTCTTCAGCCAGCTCCCATGGCACTAATCACTTTGACACATCATACTGCAGTGGAATCAATCTGCAGATATTTTTCCCCAAAACAATAAGGGATTTATACTCTTTTTCAAACTTTCCTGGTGAAAAGAGTTGTGCTGATTCTGATATCAATGAACCAATACCAATGGATCTAATTTTCTTCTTCCATAGGGCACTAAAGAAAGATTTGGATTATCTTGTCCTTGGTTCAGCTCAGCTGGCCGAAAATGTTGGGTTTCTCACAGAGTTCCGCCAACGCTTCCATTTGATACAATTCTTATATCAGATCCACAGTGATGCAGAAGATGAGGTGGCTTTTCCAGCTTTGGAAGCAAGGGGGAAACTCAGAAACATCAGCCACTCTTACGCACTGGACCATAAAATGGAAGTTGAAAACTTCAGTAAAATATCCCTCATTTTAGATGAGATATATGAATTGGACATTATATCTTCTAGTGGTGAATCAATTATGCTGGACAGGGAGGCGAAGCACCAGCAGCTGTGTATTAATCTCCAAGATACATGCAAATCAATGCATAAGTTACTCTCTGATCATGTGCATCGTGAAGAAGTTGAACTTTGGCCCTTATTTAGAGAATGTTTCTCCCTTGAGGAGCAAGAAAAGATCATAGGAAACATGCTTGGAAGAACAGGAGCAGAAATATTAAAAGATATGATGCCCTGGCTTATGGCATCTTTGACTCCGGATGAACAGCAAGTTGTTATGTCCTTATGGCACAAGGCTACTAGAAATACAATGTTTGATGAATGGTTAGGAGAATGGTGGGAAGGACATAAAATAGCCAAGGCAGCAGAGGAGTCAACTACTCCTTGGATTGCAGATCCATTGGTGATTATCTCAACATATTTGCCCAAAGCACTTGACGAACAAGAAGCCATCTGTGACAATTTCTTAAGAGCTAGTTCCATTGGCGCTGATATTGAGCTGTTAGGAATGCCCAATATGGATGATAAAGTAAAGGTTTTTAAAGGAGATGATAACTGCTCTGAATGTTCAGAATGTTCAGGACTGTTTAGTAGTAGCAATGACAAGCTATGCAATGAAGCAGCTGATCTGATGACCAATGAGCCAGGTCAAAAAGTGACTCAGAACTCTGGGCAATGCAAGCACCTACTGACAATGAGTCAAGAAGATCTAGAGGCTGCCATAAGAAAAGTTTCCTCTGACACATCCTTAGATCCGGAAAAGAAATCGCATGTGATGCAGAACTTGCTAATGAGGTTGGTAACAAGCATTCCTTTTTTCATTAAATGGTATCTTATTTCTTTTTTAGGAGAAGATTTGTGGTCCTTGTAGGCTACCTTCCAGATCATCTAAATACTTCTTTCACCTATATTTGGCTTTGCAGACAGAAAAGTCTATCTGCAAAAGCCTATGACCTAATACAATAGTCTCCATTTCAAGCCAATTAATTCATGTTCACAACTTTGCTTGAATCCAATTGCATGAATAATTAGATTTAACTATCACAGAGATGGTCCTATGAACGGATTTTGATAACTCTGGACATCATGACGCAAATGACATGATATGAACTTAAAAAATTATTTGGATGTGCATAGGAAACATTACTGCAAGGTTTTGGGAGATGAACCAATTTATTGTCTGCAGTTACTCTGATTACTTGAGGCTAGGCATTTTTTGAAATTATGGTCAGGTAGTAAAGATCCCTGCTTAAATGAGATAATATGCTGCTAGAAAATATAATTAATACCAGACATTTTATTGGTTTATCTTTTTTTTCTTTTTTTGTGCTTATATGTTTTCTATTTTGTTCATAGAATTTGACGCTAGTTTACACTGGTTCAGTCGTTGGATTCTTAAGCAACAGATATATAATTTAGAAGTAAACAAGTCAAAAAATGGAGAAGAAACTCCAGGTCAGTATCCATCTTATCGGGACCCTCTGAAACTAGCTCTGGGTTGCAAACACTACAAGAGGAACTGTAAGCTTTTTGCCGCATGTTGCAACCAGCTTTACACATGCATTCGTTGCCATGATGAGGTGGCTGATCATTCATTGGAGAGGTACTAGCACATTACACCAAAAATTTTCTTTTACCCTTTAAAAGTTCTAGGTTTTCTTTTCTCTTCATCACATTTTTGCTGCTGTTTCCAACGTATACACAGAAAATCTGTCACAAAAATGATGTGCATGAAATGCTTGATAATTCAGCCAATTGGATCCACGTGCTCAACTGTTTCCTGCAATAATCTAACCATGGGAAAATATTATTGCAGGATATGTAAGTTATTTGATGATGAAAGGTGATGTATTTTTTAATAGTTCTCATATAATGTTTTCACTTTGTTGAAGGTTGATTTTTAAACATTATTTGACACCTAACTTCAATGCAACCACTCTAAATCTCTTTAGTTCCACCATGACTTATTGTTTTCACCTTTGTTCAACCAACTTAATAGGTAAGAATCTGATATAAAAGTATGTTCCATGACCAAAGCTGCATAGGAAACATATACGTTGATCTTTCACTGTTTATATTTTAGAAAATGCACTACAAGAAACCAGTGTGCAAAGGTAACTCCATTGCACAAGTTAAATATGCTAATGCTTTTTCTCTAGTTTACTTTACAATTTTAAATTCTTGTTCTTGATATGCAGTCATTGGTAGGTTGTTGATTACTTTTGCAGTTACTGAACATTCTTTCTTCACATAAAAGAATGAACAAAAGTAAACTGATTTCAGATGTTTGAGATCATAACTTCATAAGAATAACTACATTATGCACATCCCATAGTCAGCCAAAGAGGTTTTGGAGAAGTTGATTTTATAAACAGCCTGGAATATTATGCTTCATTTACCATATTATGCACCGCAGTGCAAAAGTCATTGCACTTCATCAGTGACCTCATTAAGTTTTAATAAGGGATCTAAGAACAATTTCTTGGAGCAAATATAAAGGGAAACAAGCATTATCCACTACAAAATTTGACATCAAATGATGTAGCCTCCTACTTACATGAATAAAAAAGGCCAATAGGTAATTCAGAAATGAATATTTTATATAATCAAACAGTATTCGAAGGTATAAACACTACAGTATTATTGTCATTCTGAATTCCAAACTGCGTTACTATTTCAATTATTATTACCCTTCCCTTCTTGATTTCCTGAATGACTCATGATCTAGGGCAAGTTCAAAGCCATTCTGCCGTACCTATCAGGCAATTTAGAGGGTTAACTTCTTCTCTCTACATTTTTCATTTGTGAAGTGTCTAACATGGAAATTTTTCAGCAGGGAAATTTATCACTGTCCTTACTGTAACCTCTGTCGAGTGGGGAAAGGATTGGGTATTGACTACTTTCATTGCATGAATTGCAATGCCTGCATGTCACGATCTTTATCACTTCACGTATGCAGAGAAAAGTCTTTTGAGGATAATTGCCCTATTTGCCATGAAGACATCTTCACCTCCACTGCTCCAGTAAAGGCACTTCCATGTGGACATATGATGCACTCGATTTGTTTTAAGGTAGTTGATTCTGAAGATCCCTTTTTCCCCCCTAAAACTTTCATTCATGTTCAGTTATCTGCTTCTTATGCTGTTGCTAGGAGTATACTTGTACACACTACACCTGCCCAATCTGTAGCAAATCACTTGGGGACATGCAGGTCAGCTACGAAATTGTTTCTCCTTATCTCTGATGTCAATTAATGATATGGTACTAAGCTAAGCTGACAGATCACACAAATCATATCAGTGAAAATCTATTCTTCTATCTAAAATTGCATTTGCATTTGATACAATTTTTGGAGAGGAATTTTTATGGTTTCTTATACTTTTGCTTCATTGATAAAAGCAATATAAGATACGGTGATTCTTCCCTAAAGTGAACCTGTCTGTGATCTGTCACATCAATTGGTTCATCGAAAAAGTGAACCTGTTTGGAATCAAAATCATCAGCTTAATGCTTAAAACAAATTGTTTAGAGTTAAAACCTTTTAGCAGTTATAACTTATTTAACCCATAATTAGAACCTTCCATGCTGGTCTCAATTTGTTGGGATGCTTAGAAAATGAAAGATTATCTAACAGATTTGGTTTTCTTTCTGGAATTTATATTAAGGGGAACAAATAAGAGATACCACTTCAAGTCATTATGCTGTAATTAATGCTTCAAGATATCTAAGTAGCCAAACTTTTCCCGCTAAAATGGTGGACTTCTAGAATCAGCAATCAGGTGCCTGCTTGTAGAGATCTAAAGTATATACAATGACAATAAAGAAAACTATATTAGATTAAAAATGCCTCTCATATTTATCAGATTGATCTCAAGTTGAGTTTCAGTTAGTCATCCCCCGGGACTATGCTGGTATTATTGATAAAGATGAATAAGAACATGCTAGCCGCTAATATACTTGAGGTTATTCGATTTTGTCACCTTGCATTTCCCTTGACTCCAACTTTTATCTGTTTCTTTTTTTTTTTTCCTTGATAACAGCAATGGTATTGGAGATTCAGTTTACCTGCTTGTTTTATTTGATTCTATCAAGTGCATTGGAACTGTCTCTAGTTGATAAAGACTTGATGCCTTGGGGGCCTGAAATAATCTTTAATCCTTCAGGATGTTTTGCAGGTCTATTTTAAGATGTTGGACGCATTGTTGGTTGAAGAGAAAATTCCAGATGAATATCATGGCCGAACTCAGGTTCATCTTGCTCTTTATCCCAATTTATCATTCCCACTTTTCTTCTAGTGTTATGGAATATGTGTATTTACTAAATAGAACTTACTCAGGTCATACTGTGCAATGACTGTGAGAAAAGAGGAACTGCTCCCTTCCATTGGCTATATCACAAGTGTTCGAACTGTGGCTCTTATAACACCAGGCTTCTATGATTCTGTAAGTATAGATGATTGCTTCTCAAGAGTGTACGAAGATGAGCTCAATGAAAGTATTCGATTCTTGCCATATTAGTTTTGTTGGCAACTTTCTTGCCGATCAAAATACTAATTGTAGCCCTCGCCCTGGCCATAGCCCCATGAGGATATCTAGGGGTTTATTTCTTCTTGATGTATATCCATTTGAAAATTCTACCATCTAGCATTCTAAATAAAATCAAGAAACTGGTTTTTGCTATAGAATTGTGTTAAGTATTCAATTTAAAATTAATTGATAGTAAATGAATGAGTGTAGACGAAAATGAAAGAAATTTATTACGCGACAAATTTGAAAAAAGCAACAAAAATAAAATCTTGACTCTAATATCATATTAAGTATCAATTTTAAAATCAATTAACAATAAATGAAGAGACTTAACTTAAATTTAACTATAAAAAATTATATATTTATTACATGTGAAATAACACAATTTTAACAATATGGAAGTAAAGGAGTATATATTTCTAATGCTATGACCTGCAAATGCGTAGAATAGTATTCTGATTTAGCTCCTTTTTTTTTTTTGTATTTAAGACCATCAAAATTTGAATATTGGTTACTAAAATTAAGAGTTTAATATTTTATCAACAAATTACTTATTTGTTTGGGAAGTTTCTAAACTTCATAAAAAGGATATGATAAAACGGGTTCATTGAAGAGAAATTAACTCTTATTTGAGCAGTGTGAAATGTGAATATATGCCGGATACGAAATCAATTCGAGATATTGAAAGTTTATGATAAACATAAAAAAAAAAAAAAAAAAGAGTTCAAAATTGGGGAATGCGCTATTTATGTATAAGATCTAATTGAAAAAATAAAATAAAATAAAAGAATGGAAATTTCAGTACTAGTTTTGGTTTTTGTGGGTGGCCGCTGGTTCATCAGTTGACACTGGTGAGACTGAGGCAAGCAGCAGCACTCTTCAATTCATTCACTGCAACATGCTCCATTGATTGTGTCGTGTCTTTCAGTGATTCTTCAGAGCTGAAGCGTACAAATTTACACCACCATCAAGATCCTTGAATTAATCACAAACTAATGAACAAATATTTTTACTTTTAATAAAGATGTATTAATTTACCGGGAGTCGTATGCCTCTTTGGAATCAATATAAGATTGTCTGTCATCGATGGTATCAATGAAGGAATGAATTTCATTGTAATCTTGAACAACTTCTGGCTGTGAGTTGGGAACCAGCATCTGAGATTGAATCGCCATTGAGCTGCCATTATTGCTGCTGGTGTTACTGTTTGTGGCAAGAAATGGATGTTGAATCCACAAATAATTATTTCCCACATTCTCCGCAGAATCCATGTAAGAAGGGCTATAACCAACATTATTGCTTGATGAGTAAGAATGTTGCATTGAAACCGGCATAGCTGAGACGTTGGTGTAAGGCTGAGCTGGGACTTGATTGAAGAAAGGGAGAGAATTGGAAGGCGGGGCCATGGCTAGTTCTAGCTGTGAAGGCACGTCATCGGGCAGGGAAGAAATCTGATGCTGTTGATGGTGGTGGTGGTGATGTTGCCTGTACATCTCAAGCTGTGCAAGCACTGCATGAAACTCTTCTTCAAGTAGCTGAATTTGATAATAAAGCTGACGAATGACACCCAAGCATCCATACACAGGAAACCTGTCTCGAACATTGGCCTGGTATTTGACAGAACGCATGGCCTCAGCATGTTGGGAAGGATCTAAACTCTTTAATATCTTACCAATGTTGCTTACACCAAATAATTTATGAGCATTTTGGAAAACTTTGGTTTGGTCTGCTGGGAAATATGGAGCAAGAGGACATTCAGGGATGCATTTTCGCCTTTGGTACTTGCATGCAGCGCAGGCACTGGTGGTGCCACCCTTAAGGGTCATGATAACTGCATATATATCACCCAGCAATAACACACTACTATATTTCTACAAGTAAAGAGGAATCAATAGTCAGACGATGAGGAGAAGAAGAAGAAGCATATGGGTGAAAATAAAAAAGGAAATGTAATGAAACGGTAGAGAGAGGGAGAGAGAGAGAGAGGAGATTGTTGAAACTGAAATGGGTAGCTCAATTTGCCGTGAACGGGTCTGATATCAGCGGATTTACTGGATGTAAAAAAAGACTGAGTAAAAGAGAGAGAGAGAGAGAGAGAGATTGAAGTGACGCGGATTTTTTGGGGAACTTTCCTTTCCAAGTGTATGACTATGACCGTTAGGGACAAATATTGGAAATCTCGGAGAGTTCTAATTTTAAGGGGCAACCTATTGATCAACAATCTAACAATTTTTTTTTTTTTTTTAGATATTTGAAGTTATCGAAATTTGGATTTTGATTGTTGCTCTATCAAAAAATTCACACAACTGTTGATACGATTGTACCAACTTCATGCTAACCTCAAGCTTCAAAACTTGTTGCATCCCAAGTTTTTGAGATTGAATTGAATTGAGTCGTGGTTGCTTACCATGCCAAGGATCCTTGTATTACTTGCTAATGCTCATTCCACTGTGCAATTATAATGTTCATGGATTGGTCGGTCGAAAAATGAAGTTCGAACTTGACTTGTTCATTTCAGTGGATAAATCAAAATATACAAGATTGTTGCAAAAAAAGAGATTTTCAAATATATTCAAGTGTTTGACATAACCTTCAAAAAGTATTTGCAAGCTTAGTACTTCAACTCTTTACCTCTTTGAAGACATAAGCAACCATGCAAGAAAAATTCCTTAGTCAAAAATTAGTGAACAGAATTCAATTATCGCTTGCCATTCACATTTGGTGAAAGACTTATGTTCTTTGCCTAAGTGTTATATTTTTGCCTTCAAGATCTTATTAGATTCAGAAACATAAGCTAATGGACGGATGAAAAGCTTTACATTTTTCCTGAACCAAACCGGTGAGTATGGTTGAGTATTATTTGGTTAAAATCCAAAAAGCAAGTCAAACCAATTAATTTGGTTTGGATTGACATGGTTTTGAAAGCTAAAATATTTTGGTTTGGTTTTAAGAATAATTCTTACTTGAATTTGTTTTTGTACACCTGATGCTTTGTTATGTTTATATCTTTGAAATTTTACTTTGACATCAAATAAAAGATACTGAATCAGATTTTTTGTGCACAATGCACTCTCTAAAGTTAAGAAATGTTTTTCTTTTTTGGTTTTCATATTTATTGTACATTTTTAAAGGATCGAACCAAATCAAATTATTTTGATTTGGTTCGATTTCTATTTTATTTTGGATTAATTTAAACACAAAATTTTAAATATTAAAACATTTTAGTTTTTTTTTTCCTTAAAATCAAACCAGTTCGCACCATACTCCTATTGGTGACTGGTAAGTCGCCTGTGGCATTAGAGGTACATAACTATTATTCTAGATATATATATACTGGTATGTAACGGACTTCAGACTTAAGCCTAACAACCGAGTGGTCTTGGCAGGACGTAGCAGGTGCAAGCCTTGGTATAGAAAAGCATCTTTTGTTCCTATTGATAATTGTTCGTTCTATCTTTGAATGGCAACTTCTGTGCAGGTGTCCACTTGATGCAGATAATCCTTGGTTCCCCAGTCATCAACTTCACCAGATTTCAGGTCAGAAAACTGAGAAGTCACTCCAGTATAAGCATCCCAATAGCCAAATTGATTGCCTTTCAGTGGTTCTGCTTCTTTTAAAACATTTGATTGATAGAGCATCTAACTCAAATCTACTACCGAGGAATACGATATCATTCTCCCTCTCAATAAGTTCTTCTCTTTGCTTTGTAAGGAAAGATTCATAGCTTTGATGAACAAATTCAGTGGCGGTCTGTCACCCTCTTCTTGCCTTCTTCAAGGCAGAGATGGTCCACAGCCTGCAATGCTTCCTCATAGCTTACATGGTCACATCTCACAGAGACTGCAGGTGATAAAACTCCTCCAGCATCGGGAGAATTTCCAGTCTTTGCTTTGTTTTCTCTCAAGGGGCCTACAAAGATCCACGACAGCAGAGTATCAGCATCCTGTACAACCCCATTTCCATTGCTACCATTAGCATTTGTCAGTGCAGCATCTTCTATTGCTGCATCAGGTCAATAAATGTTCATCCAGGAGGAGGCACAAAGCATCCCCATTAAGAACATCATCCACAGGAGCAGTCTTCTCAGAATATCTAGCCATACCACAAGAATGAGATAAGTCCTGCAAGAATTTAAGGATTTTTCTAAGCTGCGTAGCTCCTAGAAAACAAAGGCACATGGGAGTTTTTAAGTTTTGAAGGTTATGGTTATGGATAAGCCAAAATAAAGAAAAGGTAGGAGAACAAGTTACAAATCTACTCAGCCAAAGGTTTTTGCCATTGACACAAAATATCTCGTTGCTCAATTCACCACCACTATTTCGTAGCATGTGGATCCAATATCAGGGTAGGGGCTCTGCAGAAATGGAATAAATGTACAGGATAAAAAGCACACATGCCTAGATTCTTAGTGCACCCATAATAAAGATCACAGTTTTCAATCAAAAGCTGGCATCAGCTCCTCATTTAACTTGAAATTTTAAAAGGTGCAAATAATTTAAATATACACAAAACCTCTTCTACTTCCCACAACAAAACTCTGTTTATGCTACGAGGACAGCAAACTACAGTAAATGCATCCGCTCCACGTATGATTGAAGTAACCATCTGTTAAGGGGCTCTCCACACCCTACAAAACACCCAGAATTGCCATTCTCGGTAAAAAATGGAAAGCTAAAAATATTAAGAAGATCCTGAACAGCCTGTCTCACAAGTGATGATCCTGTAACCCTGCTCCGCCGGCCCCATCCAGTCACTATATCAATCCTGCTCAGACTGATCCCAGACACTAGCATTTGCTGGCGAAACCAGGCAAGTGTCCTAGACAGAGCTGTTACAGCAGTACCATCTGACATCACATGAAGGTTGATCAGCCAATAACATGAGCTTTTCTCTCTAACAGCATCCGGATACACATTCTTCTGCACAGCTACCTCCCAAACAGATCCAGCCTCCTCTTTAAGCCCTGATTTGTGAAGAAAATCCACCACAGCATCCACCAGTCCCCTCTTGCTCTCTCTATCCTCACTGTGCATCATATCTAAGAATTTGTCCGCATGATCCCGCACATTTTGACCATCAGGTCCTGCTGAAGGCATCGACAGCAGAAACATGTGTGCAGGATGACCTGTGACTGCCATGAGCTGGCAACAAAACCCCATATCATATGGTGACCTGGCTTCTGTACAAAAGCTCAGGAGCAAGGTATAGGTTTGCAAAGAAGGATTTAAACCCAAGGCCAGCATGCTTTGCAGCAAGTTATAAGCATCTGACAACCTGTGCACTCTAAGGAAAGCACTGAGCAAAGAATTGCAAGTAGGAACATTGGGGCGCAGCCCTGCATGTAGCATGGCCTGATACCATTGCCAAGCCTTTTCCATATTACCGGCCTTTCCCCATAAATCAACTAGCAGGCCATAAACAGGTTCATCAGGCTCCCAGTTTTTCCTTTTCATCTCAACAAAAATTGCTTCTGCTTCATCCAGATATCCACAGTGTCCAAGCACCTCCATTACTATGCTGTATGTGATCTTGTCAGGTTCAAATCCATTATTCTGCATATCACGATAAAGCTTTAATGCACTCTCATAATTCCTTGCCTTTGCTTGTAAAGTAATCATGGTGTTATAGGTGACTATATTAGGAACACAACCCTGATCAACCATCTCACAGAACAGCCTGTGGGCAGCAGGTAACTGCCCAGCCTTTCCAAGGCAGTTGATTATCACACTATAAGTGAATGTATCAGGAGAAAGGCCAACTGCTTGCATTCTTTGGTACAAGTCCATAGCAACATCAAGAAACCCAGCTTTGGCATGGATATCAATAAGAGTACAATATGTGATACGATCAGGTTCACAACCTGTTTCCTGCATTTGATTGAACACATTGATAGCTTCATTCAAGTAGTTTGCACGTCCATAACTATGAATAAGACGATTGTACGTCACAACATTTGGCTGACATCCATCCTTCACCATCTGATCAAGTAATCTATTAATTGCCCCAAACTGCTTTGCACGACCAAGGACACCCACCATGGTGGTGTATGTATGACCATCATGCTTGAATCCAGCCTGTCGTTTTAACCAATAGAAAAAGCCAAGAGCAACTGCATGATCTTGTATTTGCTTTAGAACTTGGTTTGCTTGATATGCATCCACTGAAAAGTTGAGATTTTCAAGTGCCTGTTCAGTAGCAGAGCCCCACTTCAGCTGTCGCAATATCTGGGATACACTTTCAATGACATGCCCATTGCCTGCTAAAGGTCTGGTCAAAGGAACAACTCCTGTTTGCATTTTCATGTCTCTAAAGGATTTTCTGAAACCTTCTGTGCCAGAATCTGAAACCTTTGCATCTGAAGGTGGTCCATTGGAATTAAAATTTGACATGAAGCGATGAGAATGAGCTTTTGCTTTCTGTGGTATAGGCTTCCTCTTATCATAAGTATTTGCAGAATTACGATGAGTTTCTGATGAATTCACTGATGCAGAATTTGAAACTCGCTCGTAACCTCTAACAAAATTGGGTTTGTTACCTCTATCCTTCGTACCATGGTGGCTAACTGTTGATTTTTCCCCTGCTGATATTTCAGATGACGACTTTGGATAGACTTTGGCAAAATTCTCTCTTTTGACAGGTTTGACAGCTGGAGATTTTATACTTGAAAGTGGCCTCGTTGATTCAACCACACAGTTTTTAGGTGAGCTTAATATTAAGCCCCCATCTGATAAAGGAAGCTTATAATTCATCAGGTCAGACAAGAATGAAACAGCTGCAATGCCAGCTTTAACAAATTGGTCAGAAATGGGAGCAGATGCATGTCCATCATGTTGAACAGCATCAGTGCTGCCATCATAATTTACACTGC